TCCCTGCAGTCCCTTCCCCAGCCCCTGCCCCCAGCACAGCTCAGGAGAGGGTTTTCCTGAGCCATCTCCCCCTTCCTCAGCCCTGTGGTGGGAGCAGCCTGAAGTTCTCATCCCATCCCTGCTCTCCCAGGCTGTCCAAGCCCCTTCCTTAGGGGGCTGCATCCCTTTCTTCTTCCCATCCAGCGGGGCTTCATCCCTTCCTTAGGGGGCTTCTTCACTTCCATAGGGGCTTTATCCCTTCCTTAGGGGCTTCATCCCTTCCTTAAGGGTCTTCATCCCTTCCTTAAGGGGCTTCATCCCTTCCTTGGGGAGCTTTATTCCTTTCTGAGGGGTTTTATCCCTTTCTTAGGGGCTTTATCCCTTCTTGTCTTCCTTTGCTCCTGGGATTGTCCATGGCTGAGTCCAGCAGCTCCCACCCTGCCCATGAACATGGGCCACCCTTGGGACAGGGATCCAGGAGGGGTATTATGGGATGGTGGGAGCTGGGGGGGCTGTGCTGACCCCCCTGTCCCCCTGCAGCACAAGTACACGTCCATTGCTGAGGTCCAGGTGCACATGGAAGAGGAATTCCTGCGCTCCCCACTGTCTGGAGTGAGTGTGGGATGGGATGGGATGTTTGCTCTACCAGGGAGGGGTTTCTCTGGGCTGAGGGTCTCCAGCCCTTGGGATCATATCCCAGGGCCAGGGCACTGGTGGAGGTTTTCTGGTCTCTTCTGGCCTCAGGGGGAAGAGGAAGTGGAGCAAGTCCCTGCTGAGATCCTGTACCAGGGCCTGCTGCCCAGCCTGCCCCAGTACATGGTGAGCTGGGAGTACTGGGATCCTCTGGGATCCTCCCTTTCCAGTGGTGCCTCCCAGGTTTATATCCCTGTTCCTGCCCCCTGCCCCCATCCCCTCTCCATCTCTCCCTGCTCCCCAGATTGCTCTCCTGAAGATCCTCCTGGCTGCAGCCCCCACCTCCAAAGCCAAGACAGACTCCATCAACATCCTGGCAGACGTGCTGCCGGAGGAGATGCCGTGAGTGCCCCGGAGCAGAGGGCTGGCATGGGGTGGGAAGGGAAGGGAGAGGGGGACAGGAGGAACCAGGAAGGGTTTGGGTTGGGACTCCCTGGGTGATGTGACCCTGCCCTGCTGCAGGAGCATGGAATCATGGAATGGTTTGGGTGGGAAGGGACCTTAAAGCCCATTCCACCCCACAGGCAGGGCCACCTTCCACTATAACAGGCTGCTTCAAGCCCCATCCAACCTGGCCTTGGACACTTCCAGGGACGGGGCAGCCACAGCTTCTCAGGGAATTCCCCCCCAGCCCCTCCTCCCCTCCCAAGAAGCAGTTCCTGCAGTGCCCCCCCTGTGCCCCCAGGACCACGGTGCTGCAGAGCATGAAGCTGGGCGTGGACGTCAACCGGCACAAGGAGATCATCGTCAAGGCCATCTCTGCCGTGCTGCTGCTCCTGCTCAAGCACTTCAAGCTCAACCACATCTACCAGGTGAGGTGGTCTGGGGTCCTCCCACCCCCCGGGGGGGATTTGGGCACGGGCAGGACCCCCCTGGTCCCCATTCACCTGCTTTTCCCCTCCCCAGTTCGAGTACATGGCCCAGCACCTGGTCTTTGCCAACTGCATCCCGCTCATCCTTAAGTTCTTCAACCAGAACATCATGTCCTACATCACTGCCAAGAACAGGTGGGGGGAGCTGCTCCCCTGCATCCCTGTGGGCTGTGGGGAGGGGGCCCTGCTTCCTCTCCCCTCTGGAGCCCCTCCCTGGGCACAGGCACGGTGGGAAGTGCCCACCACGGACAGTCTCCAGTGGGTGGGAGGTGGGGTCTGCATTGCCCCCCAGGCCAGGGGGGTGTGGGAGGGATCAGTGGGGGCTGTGGGGGATCAGCACGACCCCCCTGTCCTTCCTGCAGCATCTCTGTGCTGGACTATCCCTACTGTGTGGTGCACGAGCTGCCGGAGCTGACGGCTGAGAGCCTGGTGAGTCCGGCTGTGCCAGTCCTGGGGTGCTCCCCGGGGGAAATGGGGGCTCCCCCACCCAGCCCTGGCACCCTCTCCATGCTCCTGGGGCTTCTGGGGAGTACAGCACATCTCTGCTGGGGTCACTTCTGGGCCCCTCAGGACAAGAACGATATTGAGGGGCTGGAGCATGTCCAGGGAATGGAACAGAGCTGGGGAAGGGTCTGGAGCAGCAGGAGAACTGAGGGAGCTGGGGAAGGGGCTGGAGCAGCAGGAGAA